AATAATTTTAAAATACATTATATTTTAGCCACTAAGATATAAAATAATAGCATAATATATATTATGTTAGAGAAAATATCTTGTTTTAGAATGACAAACCCATGATGTTCATTTGTTTTACTTGATGGGCAAATCTCGTGTAGGTCAGACCCATTTAACTCGTTTATTTTATGATTAGCGGTTAGCCCATTAGAATCCATGCATTAGTTTATTGTTAAATTTTTTCGTTTTAGCAATAAAAAATAATATTATTTTTGCCTTTTCATATATATTTTACCACCATGGAGAAATAAAAGGACTTAAAGTAAAAAATTAACACTCTTGGACCCGTTTAAATCCGCATGTGTACGGTAAGTTGGCCCGTTCCACAGAGAAAAAAGAAAAAAATTGACACTCCCTACTCTACCCTTCCTACAAACACTCCTGGAGCAGGGGATTTGAAATGGGGGAAGGGTTTTTTCCTCTCTGGGATTATATGCTTTTAATTTAAAAAGATACAACAAATGTACTTAGTGTGATTGGTTATGATCTTTGCTTTTCTTTAAAGTGGTCATGGTTCGAATCCTAATAAGTGTCTTTTTAATGAATAAAAAAAGGTAATTGTGAAGATCAAAATGTCCTTCCTACTTTCACTCTGGATGCAGGAAATTTGAAATGGGGCTTCAAGTTTTCTCATTTGGCTTTTATTTATTGTGTAGATTTCATCAACCACTCGCTGTCATGCGATAAATGGAATAGACTCAACGAACTTCTTGTCTCTTAACTAAGAAAAATAAACGAATAAGAACTTGTTCTAGGTGTACTATTATCGGTTTTCAACTTGAAAATTTCAGATATGAATATTTTAAATACTAACATTAAAAAAAAATTATATCGGTTTTAACTGGTCGTTAACCTGTTGCTTTCATATATAAATACAGCTAGTGTGGGTTAACCTGTTACTATTAAATTGGATGTTGTCAAAAGAATCAAAACAGTAGGATGATGTTTCGGGGCACAAGCTGCAACAGAAAATATTTGCACAATGTTTTACATCTATATGCTACTTTTTGCTTAAGTTTACCTATTGTTCAAATAGATCAGCTCGTACGTCACGTATGACGTACGTAACCAAGTTTTTCACATAGTCGAATCAACCATGCGTTCCGTATCACGTTACTTTTGTTAAGTCAAATATTTTAATACTCTAAACAACAATATTCTAATATTTGAACTAGAAAAACTAGTTTGAGCCAATTATTAATTTATGCCACAACTTGTTTGTTGAGCCGTTTTCCACCCGAATATATTTGTTATGAATAATCTTATATGAAAAATGGGCTTGTTTGATAATATATCTCACCAAACTCTATCAACAATGCTATGCATAACCAAATCGTATTATTTAACTCAAATTACATTTCATCTAATTGTTTTATCATTTATGTCAAGTGCAAAAAAAGGAAACTTTGTTAAGTTGGTGGAGTGTGAAAGCAATAGATTATCACATATCATTATTCATTCACTATGCAACCACCACTATTTATTGCCCACTAGTCTTCAACACAAATGCATTACTCTATTACATTAGCTAAACCCTAGTTAAACTTGTTGCACAGACATGGCAACAGAACTACTACTGTTCTTCCTTTCCCTAGCCATATTCCTATGGCACTGCCTCCTCAGAAACAAGCACTCACCCGTCTACCAATGGCCATTCCTGGGGATGCTCCCTAGCCTCCTCTTAAGCTTATACAACTACTCACTCCACGACTTCTGCACTCGAGCCTTGAGGCGAACAGGGGGGACGTTCCTTCTCAAGGGACCCAGTTTCATCAATGCTGACTTCATGGTGACGAGTGATCCCACAAACATCAACCACATCTTCAACAAGAACGCGGCCAACTACAAGAAGGGTCGCGACTTCAGGGCCATAATGGATCCTCTGGGCGACGGGATCTTTAATGTTGATGGCGACTCGTGGAAGTTCCAGAGGAAGCTCCTCCATTCCTTGTTGAACAACCCCGAGTTCGAGGGTCACGCCATGAAGACCCTCGAAAGGAAGATGAGGAGCAACCTTCTGCCGGTCCTCGACAGAGCAGCAACAAGAGTTGGCGGGGATGAGGCGTTGGATATACAAGACGTGTTTAAGAGGTTCATGTTTGACAACATGTGCATGTTGGTATTGGGATTCGACCCCAAATACCTCCCCGCGGGGTTCGAGGGCGGAAGGCTCCCCAAGAGTGTGTGTAGCAACGCCTTCGATGAGCTGGGAGAGGTGGTGATATACCGATACATGGTTCCAATATGCGTGTGGAGGTTTCAACACCAGCTTCGTATTGGAATGGAGTGGAAGTGCATTCGAGCCTGGAGCACCGTAGATCAGTTATTGTATGGTACCATCAACATGAAGAAGCAAGAATTAGCAACGAATAAACACTCCATCGGCAATGACAAGCGGGATTTGCTAACACAAGTTTTGGTCATGAAAGATGAGGATGGCAGGGGTGACGAAAAAATCGTTGATAAAACTTCCAACAACTTTTTGAGGGACACTATGTTCACCTTAGTTGCTGCCGGGAGGGATACCATCACTGCCAGCCTTACTTGGCTGATATGGTGTGTGGTGAACCACCCCATCGTCGAAAAAAGGATTTTGGAAGAGCTGGGACTAGCAATAGCGGCCCGACCACCAAACGAGGTTGATGGTAAGGGAAAATTTTGTCATGATCATGGAATTTAATGTTCAGCTTGCATTTTCTAGATACTAAATGAGAAAACTAATTTTTGTCTAATCAGAAGAAGAAAGAGGAGGGGGGTTTATGAGCAACAACGAGTTGAACAAACTTGTGTATCTCCATGCAACTGTTTGTGAGACACTAAGGTTGTACCCACCAGTTCCATTCGAGCACAAGTGCGTCGTGGAGGCGGATGTCCTTCCAAGCGGGCACACGGTTCATAAAGAAGAGAGGATAGTGTTTTCCATATACTCCATGGGAAGAATGGAAAATATATGGGGAAATGATTGCATGGAGTTCAAACCGGAGAGGTGGATTTCGGAGACAGGAACGATATTACATATCCCCTCGTATAAATTCATGACCTTCATAACTGGGGCAAGGACATGCTTGGGAAAATCCATGGCTTTCACTCAAGTCAAGTACCTGGCTAGTGCCCTCCTTTGGAACTACAAGTTTGAGCTCATAGATAATGGTCCCTCTGTTAAGCCAACGGTCGGGATGGTCATGTTTATGAAAGATGGGCTGAAGGCAAGAGTCATTAAGAGAAATAATTGACAATAATATTGTTGAGTTGTTGTGTGTTAGTAAAAGTTGTTGTTTCATTAATTTGTTACTGTTTCTTTATAGGATTCCGCGTGTGGTGAAGTTTTCTTTCTTGTTATCTGTTTTATAAATATGGCATCGCTTAGTAAATAAACTTTTATGTGCTCGAAAAGTGTGAAAATCATTTTCTATTTCTCCCACTGTCCCACATACACATATCAAGAATTGGTTCCCAATTTGGTACAGTGGTTATCATTTTCAGTAAAAAAAAAAATTTGTTTTAAAGTCATAACAACGGTTGATATGGTGTATCTCAATTTTTTGTTCAAATGACCTAAGTATATAATTTTTTCATATTTTTTTTTATTTCAAAACATACATAGTCAATTCATTAAAAAAAAAATGATACATAGTCTGTGACGACGATATCTTTTTGATAATAGTGAAACTGCATCAAACTGAAAAATAAAGTCTTACCTTACCTGTTTCACAATCTAAAAGTCTTACCCAAATAAGAGGGAAGGAACAAAGAAAAGTAAGAAATGACAGAATGTATGACATTATATTTAGCCACCAAAAAGTTGGTTTCTATACATATCAATGCAAACATGGTCTTATCTCCTACTTCTTTTATACATGGTCGCCATATTATATCTAACTAATTGTTTTAGCTGCTCGCTAATCTATTGCTTTCAGAAATGTATACGACGAGTTCACACAAGTCCACCTAATATACATAGAATTAGCTTGGGTAGGCCCAAATCATGGTCATCATAAGGAGTTTGTGAAGTGGTTGCAAACTTGCAATTAACACGTTCCTTTGCTTTGCCCTGAAATTAGTAACCAAATTTAATTTGTACTCTTAAATTTGATGTGCACAAAAGAATCCGAGTAGATGATATTTTTTGGCACAAAAATATTTACATACATATCTTACTTTTCTCTTAAATTTACCGATTGCTCATATTCATGCACGTAATCAATGATTTCGCGCAATCTCGTCATTCATCAATTCATCAACTTTTTTCCCCACCAAAATATACTTGTTTTACATCATCTTATACGACAAATGAGTTTTGTTTGATCATATATCTCACCAACTTCTATCAATGAGGATTTACAAGACCACATTTTACATCTTGACTCAAATTTAAATTTCATATATTTGTTTTTATCATTTATGTCTAAGGACGAAAAAAATGAAACTAGTTGCCATGTTAGTAGGATGAATGAAACTAGTTGGTAAGATAGTAGGATGTGAAAGCAATATGTTCACCACAAAATTGATAACTATATGTGCCTTGAGGAATTGAAGATTTGGGTTATGAAATTGACCGGTGCTCATTTAGGCGCCTAATTAATTTAATTCCAAGAATCCATCATTATTTTTTGCTGTAGGGCACCTTGATCAGTGTCTTCCCTCTATAAATTGGTACATCAACATAGTTATTAGCTCACCAAACAGTCGCCCCTTAATGGAACAGAATATATTCGTTATGAGTGATCTCCATGTGCAAGATAGCTAGTCGATTTCATATGTCCAACTTCCACTGAATTGTCCAACGTTTCACATTTAGTAACGTGTAAAGGCGATAGAGATTAGCCACCAGATTAATTCTTATTCTACATGGCATACACCTTACGTGGATTGCATGGAAACGTTGTTATCTGTGGAAACAACATATATATAATTAGATGCCTCCATAACCACGAAATCACCATAGAGAGAAGCAATTAATGTCAACAATGCCGACGACGATGATAGTAGCCTCCTCGGCCGTCCTCTGCCTTGCCATCGTGTACCGACTGTGGCGAGAAGTGGTGAGGGACCTCGCCGTCCTACTCTGGAAAGCCTCCGACGACCTCCAAAACCTGTGCAACGAAGTCATGAAGAAGCACGGCGGGACCTACGTGTTCAAGGGCCCCAAATTCTGCAACTTCGACTTCGTCACCACGTGCGACCACAGGAACGCCCGCCACATCTTCAGCACCAACTTCCGCAACTACGAGCGAGGCCAGGACTTCAACTACATGTTCGAGGTCCTCGGGGACGGCATCTTCAACGTCGACGGGGAGCTTTGGAAGTACCAGAGGCAGCTCCTGCAGTCCCTCATCGGCAGCAACAACGAGGAGTTCGAGCGCCACATGATGGAGACGCTGCGTGACAAGACCGAGACGGCTTTGTTCCCTGCCCTGGACGACGCTGCGTCGTCGTCCAGGCTGCAGGGACGAAGCGAGGTTGTTGACGTGCAGGACGTGGGGAAGAGGTTCTTGTTCGACGCCATTTGTTTGTTGGTGTTAGGGTTTGATCCAGAGGAAATGAGCTCGTCGGCGTCGTGGGCAGTGAAAGCATGCGACGAGATCACGGAGGCAGTGGCCTTCCGGCACATTGTGCCAGTGTGGATGTTGAGGTTACAAAATTGGTTTCAAGTAGGGACGGAGAAGAGGATGAGAAGAAGCTGGAGAGCCATGGATCGGTTCCTGTACCGGTGCGTCAAGACAAGGAAGCAAGAACTAGCCTTAGCAAACAACGACAAGAGCAAAGGAAAAGATTATCACCAACCACGACCGAGATTCGATCTATTGACTCAATGCTTGATGGTTGAAGAAGATGGAGAAGGAGAAGGAGAAGCAGTAGTAGAGAAGCAATCAGACAAGTTCCTGAGAGACACTGCACTCACACTGATACTAGCCGGAAAGGAAACCATATCTTCTGGTCTCGTCTGGTTGCTCTGGCTGGTCGCCACCCACCCTCACGTCGAGAGAGCGATTCTGGATGAAATCGAACAATTTGTGGCGGTGAATGGAAAAGCGGCCTTTTGGAGCAAGGGTGAGTTGACCACCAACAAAATGGTGTACCTCCATGCAGCAATCTGCGAGACGTTGAGGTTGTACCCACCGGTGCCATTCCAGCACAGATGCGCCATGGGAGAGGATTTGTTACCTAGCGGCCATCGGGTTCGAAAGGGAGCGAGGATGATATTCTCCATATGCTCCATGGCCAGGATGCCACAGATATGGGGCGAGGACTGTGCGGAGTTCAAACCGGAGAGGTGGATCGATCGTGGAACTGGAACCATACTGCCAGTGCCATCCCACAAGTTCATGACGTTTATGACCGGACCGAGGACTTGTTTGGGGAGGGCCATGTCCTTCCTTCTACTCAAGTCGCTGGCTAGTGCTATCCTGTGGAACTACAAGTTTGAGGTGGTTGAGGGCCATCACGTGAAGCCAGCACTTTCGGTGGTTACGTCGATGAAGCATGGCTTGAAGATGAGAGTTTCCAAGAGAAGATAAATCATAAAATGTAATGTTTTTATTAATATGAATTATATTATGCTCTCCTACTAATGTAACCATGTTTCAGAATCCAGATATGATGTTGCCAACTTGGTTTTGGAGAAAATAAACGGTAGAATAATGTGTTTCTCAATAAATTGATTATGTTTGAAATAGTAATTATTTAGTAGTGTGGTAAGGCGACAGATCAACCACCGAATTGCATTCAATGTGATTTTTGAAAACGTAGGATTTCTATTTTCTACCAAATGGAACCTCGTGGTCGCTCCATGCAAATCGATTTCTCCATCCAAATGGAACCTCAAAATCCATAATCCACATCGACTTTTCTACGTCTTTTACATATGAATTATGATCATGCATTAGACTAGACCTGGAGTAGACTCCCCCATGCATTTCGAAACACTTAATTGATGGGCTAACTCATGACCGCTCCAGCACATAATGACAACTTTGTTCCTCATGGCGTGAACGTTTCGCCCACCTCTTTCTCCACGCATACACTTGGGAGATATGGAAGGAACGAAATGGAAGGATGTTCAATGATGAGAAGCATAGATGGCAGTGCATTTTCATCAAGATTGGTAGGATTCTTCTTAGCTGGATGGCGGCAGAGGGGATGATCAGCGAGACTAATAGGATCGAGTGGCTTGGGATCCTCTCCCAATCTAGCCCTGACGATCGTGACTTGTGAGCTAGTTCCTGTTGGTTCCTCTTCTGTTGGTGCAGCAGGAGGGGCCTGATCCACTTTGCTTTTTGTTTTGTTGCTTGCCCCTTTTCCTTGTTTGAACTTTTGATCTGGGAGGTTCAGCTCTTGTGAACTCTCTCTAGTCTCCCCTGTTTCCTTTCTTTTTATTAATAAATCTTTCACCCTTATAAAAAAAAACTTTGTTTTCTACGTCTTTCAAGCAATATGTAATGTAAATCTTATGAGGTTAACGACTTCAGTTAGGGATGGAGTTAGGTTGAAACTAGGAGGAGCGGTATACTCTCTCGAATGTGCATTTCACCGTTTCTTTTACGCAAATGACGGAAAAAGGTAACGAGTTACTTTACCAAATTAGTAGTCTTCAACACCAACGCATCAATACTTACCCCATTGGCTTCACTCGCTGGAGAGACATGACCACACAACTACTACTAACCTTCTTTTCCCTAGTCATCTTCCTATGGCACTTGCTTCTCAGAAATTAAGAAGCACTCACCCGTCTGCCAATGGTCATTCTTGGGAATGCTCCCTGACCTCCTCTTGAGCTTGTCCAGCTAAATATTGATGAAAAATAACGTTTTGTTTTTTAAGAAATTTTCTCTTATATTTTGATACATAAACTTTTAAAAATTTACAAGTAGGACCAATATTGTGGTATGTTTTAGGAAACTTAATGGTATGCTTCCCCTTCCCGTTGTATGCTTTGTTTAGATGAACTTGTGGCATGTTTTGTCTTTCCCTTCCCCTTTATATTTTACGCTGCTTTCATGTAGGTAATTCATATACAAATTACAGTTTGATATACGAACTTAATAGATCTTAATATTTAGTGTCTAAAATTATTTCTTTTACAGTTAGGTCCTTAAAATATCGGTGTAAAATTATATATTAGTAGCTAAATTTTTTTTATCTTACATTTTTATGCCAATAATTATTTTAAGTATTCACAAATAGGTTCATGTTGGTCCCCTCACCAAAATTTCATAATATCAAGTGTGTCCCTCCACTTCATCCCTCATTAATTGTGGTCAATTCATTCAAATTAAAAAGTTATTCGGACGAAATTTTCATATTAATTGGAGCTATTGTTAAGTAGCACACTCGTCATTCCCTTGAGAACTATATATATATAATATGCTTTCCCAGGAAGGGAGTATATAAATTGGTTGCAATAGTTTACTCGTTCGTTCCATTTGCACTCATACATGACATTTTATTTATTGAAATGACATAAGTAACAACCATATATCTCACACCAGTACCCATCCTATTTAACTATCAAAGACAGAATATATTCGATCGCTATTTAATTATCAATGACACAAGTAAAATTGGCTACTCAATTTCATGCGTCACAGCTAATTAACAACTTTACTTAAATGAGTATTTCAGAGTAATGTTCATTGCAACGACATAAAAGCGGAAAGAGCAGCCGAATTAGTATCGTTATGTGAAAGCTATAGATTATCCACCAACTTAGTTAAGTTGATAGCTATAATAACTTGGTGTACGTACGTATTTTTTAATACAACCAAGTCCAAGAGATTGGAAAGGAAGTCAAAAATTAAAAAAAGAAGCTAAGGTTCCTTAATTCATTGCATTTGCATAGAGACATTAATTAATCATGTCAACTGCAGAGCTCCTGCAACTTTGTGTAATACTAATACTACTCTCATCAGCCTTCCTTTGCATCATCGGCTTAATGCGGACCCTTTTTCGGGACATTCCAATCGCACTTTGGCAGGCATCCAGTCTCCACGACTTCACCACTCGACTCCTGAAATTGAACAACGGGACTTTGTTGCTCAGCGGCCCCATGTTCCTCAACGGGGACATGATCATCACCAGCGACCCCATGAACGCCCACCACATCCTCAGCACAAACTTCACCAACTACGAGAAAGGCCGCGATTTCAAGGCAATCATGGACGCCTATGGTGACGGCATCATCAACTCCGACGGCGAGTCGTGGAAGCTCAAGAGGCAGCTCGTCCACTCCCTGATCAACACCAAGGAGTTCGAAGATCACGTCATGAAAGTCATGGCGGTCAAGTTGGAGCACACCTTGTTCCGCGTCCTCGATGATTGTGCGTCATCATCCGAGGTTGTTGACATCCAGGATGTGTTCAAAAGGTTCATGTTCGACAACATCTGCCTGTTGGTATTGGGGTTCGATCCTGGCTACCTGCGGCCTGCTGGACTACTACTTTCCACTACTACTCCTACATTGTTGTGTGGCAAAGCATTTGATGATCTGAAGGAGGCTGTCGTGTACCGCCACATTGTCCCCAAATTCCTGTGGAGAATCCAAAAGAGGCTTGATGTCGGAGTGGAGAAGAAGGCAAGCAGAAGTCGCCAGATCCTCGATGACTTCATATATGCAAGGATAGAGACGAGGAAGCAAGAGTTGGTGAAACTAGGAGGAATTAACGACGACAACAATGCCAACGATGTGTTGACACGACTTTTGGTAACGGGACAAGACAAGTCAGACAAGTTTGTGAGGGACACTGTGTTCAGCTTGATAGGAGCTGGGAGAGACTTAATCTCCTCTGCCCTAACTTGGTTTCTTTGGCTGGTCGTGACCCACCCGATTGTCGAGGGAAGAATTTTACACGAGATCAAGCTAGTCATGGACGTGCGGCGGGATGATGATGATCAAGATAGATTGTTTTTTACCAAGGTCGAGTTGAACAAACTGGTGTATCTTCATGTCGCGATTTGCGAGACCTTGAGGTTGTACCCACCCGCGCCATTCGAGCATAAATGCGCTGTGGAAGCAGATGTGCTACCTAGTGGCCATGGTGTGCCTAAGGGCACGAAGATATTGTTCTCCATATACTCGATGGGTAGGATGGAAGAGATATGGGGTGAAGATTGTACGGAGTTCAAGCCGGAGAGGTGGATTTCTGAAAAAGGGAACGTAATTCATGTTCCTTCGTACAAACTTATGGCCTTTTTAGCAGGGCCAAGGACTTGTACTGGGAAGGCTATTGCTTTCTTGCAGCTCAAGTCCATGGCCAGTGCCATTCTCTGGAACTACAAGTTCGATATTGTGGAGGGTCATGTCGTGAAGCCGACAGCTGCTATGATATTGCTAATGAAAGATGGATTGAAGATGAGGGTTTCCAAAAGGGGTTTAGTTTGAGTGTTTCTTGTTGTTGTTGATGATTTACTTGTTTGATGTTGGGGTTTCTGTTTAGGATGGGATCTTGATGACGACTTTATGTAGGAGAGTTTGCATCTGCAATAATTATGAAGCAGCATTATAATATGGATTCAATAGGAAAATGAAGCCCCATACGGATTTCTAATATTGTAAGGTGGCTTGTATTATTGTAGCGGAAATAGCTTGTGATATCCCCTAATTGATCCTTTCAAGAAAGCTATATATCTTAATGTAAGGCCTCTGGCCATGTCAAGCAATGAGAAGAAAAACAAATTGGAGACTGTTGTCTCTCCTGTGATTTTTTCCAAAATACACTAGTTACTAAAAGGTACCCACACTATCATACTAACGCTAAAATTTGTCAGATTATTAGAGCTTGGTTTGGGTGATTGCAATTTCCAGCGATCTTTGTGGCGATTCAGTGAAAATCGGAACGATCCAACTTGGATCACGGCCAACCAAAGCGAACCATCTTATAGAGTTTAAGTACTAGAGTCTGTAGCGATCCCGCTAGATCGCTGCAGACTCATGCAATCTAACCCAAAAATTACTGGACACTCCAACGATTTACACCTAATACACGCTGAAATAATCTGATTTGAATTGAACTTTTAATTTTGCTGTGAAAGAATCAGAATATATTCATTAATCATTACATTATCTTTGGGGGAAAATTAAAGAGATAGCTAGTCTGAATGATATATTTTCCAAATTCTCCAATTTGGGCTCAAATGTGCATTTCTCTATTTCTTTTACGTTAGTGGAGCAAAAAGGAAACTAGTTGCCAGATTGGTAGGATGTGAAAGCACTAGATCAGCCACCATATTGATAGCTACGCCTTGGGGGAATTTAATGGTGCTGGTAGGATTTTAAGACTGAACATTAATTAGATCACCAACTATCACATATAAGTTTTAATCCGTTCAAAAGTCAGTTCACCGCGCAATAAATTCGTACATGTCGATCATACATGGTGGTTAAACCATTTGTCAATGCATGTTATTGACAAACTTCTATCCAATCCGAATATAAACTCTTCTAATCATTCTAAAACTCGAACATCGTAATAAAAATTGACATATCAACCTAGCAATTTGGTTATTAAATGTAGCAAAGTAG